TAGTGGGGGGACAGCAAGACGAAAAAGGCAAAAACCTACCAACTTTATCTACTCTGGGGTAGCCCCAGCAATTTTTTCTTTACTCCAAATCACTATTTTTTCATCACTTTTTTTTTCTCCAAATGGTTTAAATTTCACTAGAACAAGTCTAATCAACCCTATTTTGTATAGCCAATCTGAGTCAGTTTTAGCATTTGAGTTTATTGCTGAATGCCAGCCCTAGACAAGAGCCTAGGTTTCAGACAAAACCTCTGAACATTTATCATGAGAGCCAACGACTAACCTTGACGAATCTCAGGAACCATCAGAATTGAATTTAAAAAATGCGGAATTCCACTTTTCCACACAAAAAGCTCATGTCTGATAGCAAAAAAGCCCTTGTCCCGTTTCACCCTCCCCCCCCCCCCCAAGAAAAAAAAATACATAGTGCACAACCGTTCCAGGATATTAAATTCTGAGCATCTCCTTCAATTTCCATCAGAACTCTGCCAGCACACACCAATTCTTGGAATCTGCCTAAAAAAAACCCTGCCAACCGGAAAATTAGTCATTACGACATTTTCATAGCAAGTGCCAGTAATGTCACTAGCTGTAGTGAGAATGTAGTTATGTATTATAGATGCCAAGTTTAGTTATATTGTAGTATATTCTGCATGTCCGTTTATTTATTTTTTTTTTAAACTTATTTTTGACTCGGAAAGAAAACGGTCTTCATGATAAAAGTGTACTTGTGCTCTTTCAATTTTCAGTTTCACCTTTTAACTCCATTTTTGTTTATGTTCGTAGCTAATTTTCTCACGTTGTTGCCTTTGCAAAAACCCGGTCATAACTACTATAAGCAATATTTTATTTAAAAAATTGCATATTGCAGAGCAGATTAAAACAGAGATATCGCTCAATTTATTGTAAATTAACTGTAATTGATTTATCTAGACTACATCCACTATCGTAAGCAACTTCCATGACATTTTTTTTTATCACAAGTGATGTGATCTCACTCTCATTTATCACTGATGATCAAAAGTCATTCTGTTCTATTTTCCATTGCAAGACTGCTAATAATTTGAAATACGACCTTAATTATTTACGTGACCAACTTCAAACCAGACGAGAATGGTTGAGGAGAAACCCATTAACAGCATAGGCAAAAGAGCTTCCATTTCAATAGTTACTCAAAAATCAAAAACACAGACTTCATAAAAAGGATTTTAAATTTGTCAAAAGATTTTGATATGGTACAGGTAAACCTTGTTGATTAACCAAAAAGTGTTTTCAGTTCTAGGCATAACAAATATTTTGCTGTAAGGGTCTAAGGCTCATTTTGTACATGTATTCAAGATGTATATTTCTCTTTCTTTAAATTGTTTGGGGCATTCTCAAACTATGTTGAGCCCATTTCCTGAGATAGTAAAGAGCTTAACTTCACTAATCTTTTTTTTCGGATGTAACTGGCATTTTACCCTGCCTTCTCGCATTGCTATGTCTGCAAATTATGTTCTATTTACTAGTCACAGAAACCTTTCCATCGCTAGCTCCGTAAGCCAAAAGGTCGAACCTTTCAGACTGAACTACAGGTGTAGCAGTAATCTTGCTGATGTCTGTTGAAGTTATTCCATCCCAGAAAGCCATCAATGGTAATACTTTAAGTGTATCAAAACAAGATGCAAAACAAAATGCTATTTTTGCATTTTTCAATAAAAAAAACTTTTTAATCATTTAATTAATATTTTTTTAATCTTTTTAACCTATAAATTCAACAGGAAATTTAAACTTGATGATATTTGTGTGTGAGACTGGTAAATATCACTACGAGTTTGAGCGTTATCTAATAACAACTTCACGACAATAGCTAACACATAAAATTTTCCAGACAGTCATTAAATGTTTAGTGCCTCTGCAAAACAAAAGGTTTATAGACTAAGTGCAGTTGGCACTAAGTTACCTGACGTAAGCAGCAAGGCCTACTGGTAGATCTGAACTGCTTCATAAAAAATTCTCTCTCGCGGATAAAATGGAAACATCTTTCACGAAATTGCATCCCATCACACCACATAAGATAACAGATATTAAAGATATAAAGAACCAAGGATTGACACTTTCGGTTATTCCCCCCTGCTCCCCAAGACATGAACTCAACATGAATGTCAGAATATGATATTTTACTTACGTCACTACCCTTATGTATTACCAAACGAGCTAATACTTTCAGACATTGGAGCAGCTTCCTCTTGGCAAATTAGGTTACTTCATAAGTGGGCAATAACTTTTCCATAAATCAAGGAAAAAAACAGTCCAAATCTTTATTTTATATAATTAATTTTTTATTTCATTTATTCATTTTTTAGTTTCGTTTTGTTTATGGGAAGAAAAATCAAGCCCTTGTCCTAAATTTATATTAAGGCACACTATAGTATAGACTAAATCCAATCTATTGTTTGACAAAGGGACCATTTCCATAACTCTGTTGTACTAGCAGGATCGATCTATCTCCAAAAGGATTCCCTCTTAATTGTATTCAATTTAACGTGCAAGAAAGTTTATTACTCCCCTCCCCCCAACGAAAAAGTCCTATAAGGGCCAATTTCCTATAGAATCCTATAGGATCCTATAGGACTTTTTCATATGGGCACCCTCCCCCCCCCCTCCAGCAGCTTCAGTGGGCATGACAGACTGAATGCAATTTAGCGAGAATCCTCTTCAGAGTTAGATCGATCCTGCTTGTATGATATATTTATGGGAACCCTGTCTAAGTCCGTCGTGGCTTCAATTATTAGCTAGAATTTAGTTGTAGGACAAAATATGCCAACCTACGCACACCAGTACTAGGACACCTACACCTCCTAGATCGATCTGGCATAATCGACCAATCTCCGAGGGGCTTCTCGCTAATTTTTTTCAGCTTAAGGGGCTCTGATGTCTGGCATGCCTAGTGAAGCTCGTACGGGATAATTAACTATAGATTAGCAGCTTCAGTAGGCATACAAAACATCTAAGCTGCTTTCGCTAAAAGCAATTTAGCGAGAAACTGCTCAGAGATGGTTCGACCTTGTTAGATTGATCTAGGTACAGGAATGGGGTCTTAATATTATGCCCCCAAAATTGGCCAAAAACATCCTTTAATGGCACCCACTCCAATATCCTGGACTTTTATCTCCATAATAATGGCTTTCGCCTGCAATCTAAATCCCAAATCATTAATCAAATCTCAGTTTTCGTCCTGTGTGTCCTTTTGTCAGTCAATAAGATGAAATGAAATGAAATGGCTGGCATGTTCCTTTAATAAATCGAGTCATTTAATCTGTAATCTGAATTGCTGATCAGCAGCATATATATTTTTTTTTTTTTGAAAAAAATATCTATGAATTATCAGAAATAATAGTAGAGGTAAGAGCTAAAGTGCAATGCATATAATTATCTCAATTTCAATTAACTATGAGCAAAACTATTCATCAGCTTGGTAAAAATGTAGTCCAAAGAGGATATTTTACATGTACCTGTACAGGTATGTAAACCAAGTAAAACATCATTATATCACATAGCAGTTAAGTCCAGTCACATGTACAGTTATCTGATGAAGGATTTTTCCCAGGTGGGCTGTAAGCTATATATATGTACATAAGTTTTGATAATTTTTCTAGGGATAACAACTGTTTGTTTCAGCAAAAAAAACAGATTTTCCTGAGGTAAACGACAATTTTCACATGCTTATGTTGATGGGATATCTTTAAATTGCTATGATAAACATTATTTAGTTAAAAATAAGAGATCTATATATATACATGTAAATCATCTCTAGACTTTTTATTAAAAAGTGATTTTATTTTCTTAAAACAAAACTTAAAAGTATATATATTACTAACACTCCCAACAAGGAAACAAAGAAAGGAAAAAAAACAGCTGAAATGTTCATAAAATACAGAAATGATTTTCATATGATTTTTATAAAATAGAAATGGCTAAAAAATTGAAAGTTCCTTATGAGATCTCCATTTCTTGTATCTACTGGTTCATTTTTCATGCGAGCATGCCGTTATTTCTGGGCTTAATCCCATTAGTCTAGTGCATGTATTAATTACATGAAAATACATGGACATACTCAACTGTACCATAATTTCTCACCAAATTCAAGAAAATTAATTTTCTTTTACCTCCCAACAGAAGAAATACCTAACCTCTTTGATATCATTGAAAAATCTATCTGGGTTCCTGTCATGCCATGAAATAATTATTTTTTAAAGTGCATAAAACTGATAAACTTCAAAGAAAAACAATTATATAATTAACGAGGGAGTTCGAAATTTGAGAATAAGTACATGTACCTTAACTCCCATACATTAACAGCCCCACAGGTGTTTTCGTCAGCTAGTGTTCCTTATTAACTCCCACACCTGCGTATTAATTGCTGAGCAGGGCACTTATAATTAGCTCTCGAAACTTAATCCCTTACTCTGCAGTGCTGATAACAGAAATTAATGCATTCTTAACAGGACTCCCATTTCACACTACAATCCAAGTAATCAAGGTTTTTTATTTTAATATTCTGCTGTTAGTCAATGCGCATGGACCTTGAATTTCACATTAAAATTCTAATTATTGCACTTCCCAATGATGGAACATTATGTTTTCACTGGTGTTGGTATGTCTGTTTGTTAGTATAGGCTTCTCAAATATTTTGGTGACATTTTCAGAAATGAAAAATCAATCAGGATCAAGGGAAAGAAGTGACTACTTAAAATGATTTTTTAACTGTTTACCATTATAAAGCGTTACATTTCCTATCAGATCTGTAACCTAATTTTCACCAGATTCTGCTTGAGAAAAATACATTTTTCAAGTAGTAAGTTATCAAATGACATAATTTTTTCCTCTTTTTAGTATATCTTATTTTCACTCATTTTAATTGTATTTTATCTTATTTTATAATTTTTTTTTATTTTATCTTATTTTTTATTATTATTTTTTTAATTTTCTTTGAAAAATTAAAACACTGTCCCACTTACCAATCATTCCAGCTTTGATCCAGTTGACGCCCTTGGCGCCATGAGCAACCAGAGCAAAACCCAAGGTGGCGCCAACGATGCTGTGAGTCCCAGACACTGGGAGACTGAGGAAGGTCGCAATCAACAGCCAAATACAAGATCCTGGGAAAGTGACGAAGAGAATGGACCAATTACTTCTTTAATTTTTTAAAGATTTTTACAGCTTATTACTACAATGTAATTATGGCGGACAGGAAAATCGAATTTAATTTACTAGTTAGGCGTATTTTCACAGAAGTACATGTAGATACAATGGCTACATAAACACATTATTATTATTATTATTATTACAGAGGTCACAACAGTTAAGATGGAAGCACATTTTCAAGTGGCATCGCAAAAAGTATAATATCGGGAACATGCATTTGCACTTGAGATAGCCCCACCTTTCTCTTAAAAGGAAGGAAGACTAGTAAATCTAAACACCAAGCCAATTAAGTGAATGGTTCATCACAATTACTAGTAACTTGCTTCATGTAAGTTGAACTGTATCATCTTGAATGGAAATGCGACTTCTGAGACACTAAAAGACACGTTAATGTAGCAGTTGATGTGAAAAATACCAATGAGGACAAATTCCACTTTTTGACCTTAATACACGAGGTTAAATACCTTATCGACACCCCTTTGTTTATACTTAATAGCCAAAATCCTGACTACTCAATGACTGAAATCACTACAATAATTTGAAGAGGGGTTTATCTACTCAAAATATTTGTTCAGTGAGGGGATTAAGTCAAGTGAGGTCAACAAGGTAAAATTGTTGAACGCTTGTACAAATCATGCCGTAATCGGATTCATTCAAGCCAAGATATGGAGATATCTAGCCTCTTATCTTAAGGGGCATCCCCTCTTCTATATCTTTGCCCATGCCAAAAATCAGTATAATATGACAAACAAAGAAACTTTTCCATCCTTGGACCAAAACATGTTGCAGTAAAATTACCCACATCTAGCATTTTCTTAATTTTATCTTATTTTGTTCTCTCCCCACCCCTTTTCCTTAGGCCAAAAAAGTATCCTTTTATCCTACCCAAAACAATATTACAAACCAAATAGGATGGTACCAATCTTCTTTTTTCATCCCTGAATTCTTATAACTGTTTTTGTTCTATCCTTGAAGATGTGTCCCCCTCCCCCCCCCCTCAAAAAAAATCAATTAATCAATTAATAAATTAACTGTTTAATCTGCCAATTAATTCGAAATAGTTATGTATGAATCACGAGTGATGCTAGTCATTGCTTATGTAAGGTCACAAAGATTGCTGGTTGACAGTCAGTCAGGTTATCTTCATATTTTCATAATATTTACACAATAAACAAGCAATGTTTAAGTTCATGTCAACAACCTGGGGTAATGAGTATACAGAGAATGATAAAATGTTTAATAGTAAAATTCTCCAAAAAAAAAATTAAATTAAATGCACTCAAAATGTCTTTTTCAAAAACCAAAAGTTTAAATTTCAAATTGAATTTAATTTCAAATTTGATGGCAATCGATCCTTATGGCTGATTTCACACAAGAACTTTGCCTGGATGCTGGTCTTCAACTGAAGATTGACCAAACTGGCTCTGATTCAATTATTTTGCTCAAATAGTACTGAAGCAATCTGAAATATTGGATACTAGTTACTTACTAGATTTTGCAGCATCTCTGCCCACAATATAGTGTAACATACTGAAAACTGAGTTGCACGTACTACTCTAGACTGAATCTTTTCATCATGTGCCAAAATATAACTTTTAACTTGCCCCATGTATAGCTATAACCACTTTTGTTAAAAAAAAAAGACTTTCATTCTATTGCACAATTTTACTTGTAAAAAAATATAACTTCATTTTCCTAATCAAAAAATTGATTCGGTTGAAAAATTGCTCCCAAAATATCCTACAGCAAGTCAACTTCCCCAGGTGCAAATAGAGCCTTAAAGGCATGTTTATCTCTTTACGTTTCATTCCCTCACCCGACCAGCAGCTTGCTTCTACTTAATATTGCCCAAGAGAGTACAACTGCATAATAGAAACTATAACAATACACATTTCCACAGAATAATAATAAATTTTAATTATTTAGTATTTCCTGGATTCAGATCAATCTACCGCAACACCAAATGTGTGAAGAACTGATGACTGGAATGAAATATGATGTTAGAATCAACACAGATTTATTTTTCTCCACAATCCTAACCGAAGAGCAGAATAAGCAAACACTTTTGAAATAAATAAGTAAATAAATGGATAAATAAATAAATTGAAACAATAAAAAACCTGTTTCAAAAATAAAAGGTCTACAACGAAAAAGGGAAAAAATTGACAAAAAATGCTGAAATGTTAAACAGGAGGATGAAACTGTCTCTTGAATAAAATAAATAAATAAATAAAAGTAACAGTAGAGTACATCTGGCATGAGCTGCCACATCTGTGCCAGAAAACGTGTCCTACTAACAAATTCCAGAGAGTATTCTCCCAGGAGGATGAATTAAGGGTTTCCAAGAATAACCTGCATTATTGATGAGCAGCTTACCTGACAGTGCGCAGATATTGCCCACCATGAGAACCTCTTCCGTGCCGTTGTAGGATCCCACGTCAATGATGCCCTTTCGTATGGTGTCTGATACTTTCGCACCTAGGAGAGAAAGAAATATGAACATTTGTAATGCGTAGAGTGACATTCACAATGATGCCCTTTCCTATGGTGTCTGATACTTTCGCACTTGGGAGGGAAAGAGAGAAACATGAACGCTTGGAACATGTTAAGTGACATTCACTGGTTAGGCCAAGTCATCAATACTTTGCATCATGCAGTTATTTTTTATATAAGGTGGAGATTTAGACCGTCTTCTCTCTTTTTTTGTGTAATCTTGTCATGTTTCTTGAAGGTGTTTTTTTTATTTTCAGCAGAAAGTGCAATTGATGAAATAGGTTTTTCTTCATCTCTTGTATAAAATTGGAAAAAAAAATTCTTTAGTTCTTTAGGAACTATTTATATTTTCTTTACCAAATTAAAATTGGCCTTTCCATTACAAGTTTGACTCTGCAATACTGTCTGACCAGACATCCACTTTTTTTTTCTTTAAAACTGAAATAAGCTAAGTGTAAAAGTAGCCTCACCTAACAAAATGGCGCCCAAGGTCTCAAAAATGGCTCCCAGAATGCATGCCTGCCTCAGCGTCAACACTTTCGCTCCAACGGATGTCCCAAAGGAGTTTGCGACATCATTAGCTCCGATCCCAAAAGCGAGAACGAAAGCAACGATGAACCCAACGATGATCATCCAAAGCACGTTTTCGGGGAAAAGAAGTTCCATTTTGATTTTTTTTTCCTGTCCTTCTTCTGGTGTTTGATGATCTTTCAATGTATCTGGATCAAGTCTAAATTGAAAAAGTCTCTCACTGTCTGCTAACTATGGCTACCACAAAGAAACCAATCAAATTCTACTGGCTGCAATGTCAACGCCTTCTTTTCTTGATGAAATAGTTTTCTAAATCCGCTTTAATATCACAGTTTGCTGTACGATGGTTATTTTATGAAATGAATATATGACTTTTTTTCAGCTGATGAGGATAATTGTACGAATAAGACAGAAATTAATGTGAAGATTTTGTTTGTTCTTTTTTTTTTTCCTTGAACACTGGAAAAGTTTCTACGATGAGCATGAAATGTTCACTTGGCAATATGGAGGTTGAGCAATCGAGTTGTCGTTGGTTTTAATTGTGTGGACGACAATTCCGCTTTTTCCTTTTGGAAACAGCTTCTCTTGTTGAATTTGTGTTTCACTCCAACTGATCTTGCTTGGATGTTCAGATTTCTTTCTTCTTTTTCCTCTTAAAAAACTCCTCTTTGAAAGCCTTCAAAATAAAACGTAGCAGACGACAGGGATTGTTATGCAACACAAAGCTGTCACCTAATATTCAATCACAAATGCAACAAGGGAAGAAAAAAAGCCGCTGCGTCACAAAATGATCCACACAAGTTTATCCACCATTACCTAGTCCTTTCAGAAAGTATATACTTTTTCAGGTGGTGGTTTTTTCTAGTCCTTTGAAAATTCGACATTGGGAAATGGTGTTACTTGTTGAGAGCTGAGCTTTGCTCAATCCAGCCAAAGTTGGAGGTCTCACAGGAAGAATAGCTGTGCTTTTAGATTCGTCTCTCAGGAGGTACAAAATTCCTAGTACCTAGAAAGATGAAAATAAAATTAATAGGATAAATGAAGATCCAAGAACATACTTTCCTGGGAGGCAGATGGAAAAGAGTGATACTGGTAAAAATAATAATATCCTTTGGCTGTTATGCCTTTCTTTTTAAGCTCAAGCTCGCGTTTAGCTCATACAGGCCTCAATTCATGTGATTTAAATAGAAACTGGAAGGCCTCAGATTTTCCCATTTTCTTCCCCTCTATCTCTGATTTCACTCCCTCCCCCCCCTTTTCTCCCTTGTATACAGCTAATTGCTCTTACCAGTACCTTAGATCGATCATGAAATAAATCTCATTCATCCCTTAATTTACTATACTAGCACATATTTTCTTCACTCTAATTTTCAAATATTCCACATACTTGTACTCTTTGCAGTCGATCACACTAGTAACTGAGCATTTTAAATAAGCAAATTCTAGAATTTATCTTTTCTGACCTTTTCTGTCCCACAAATGATGTTCGAAGCATTTTTGTCCTATATGTACAACGATATACCAAATGTGTGGATTATCACTACTCCTGTATTAAAAGAACACTATACTTCTCCATTCTCTTTTACTTTGTTCCTTCATATATTTATCTTCCCTAACAACCACCTACATATATATGCACTGTAAAATAAATACTAGATTTTTTCCTGTTTCACTTTCTCCTTTAAACAGTCCTGGGGGGGGGGGGGGGGGGGGGG